ATGAGACTGAAGTTCACGATCACTGAGGTTTGAGCTTTTGGGCAACTTTCTTCCCTCCTCTGGTGTTTTGCCTTGCTGAGTTCTTTCATCTTTTGCTGTTCTACTCACCTTGTTCTTACAGGAAGAATTCGTTTAATCATGGGGAGTGTCGCTTCTTACTTTGCCAGTAGTTGCGGAATAGCTTTTAAGGACAATGTCCGTAGGACACGACTCGGATTTATCATTTCTCTACAGGTATTGTTAACAGAATTTTTAGAGCATTACAGAGGAGCTGGAAGATCTAATGGACTTTTGAAAAATTAAGGTGCTGCCGCTAACAGATCAATCGTCCTCCTGCACAAGACTCTGTGTGCCAATATAGAAACAAGACTCGTTAGTCTACTTAAATCGTTATTCTTGGCAATCATCATTTGATTTGCAAATGGGAATGGTAATGACAGGGCATTTGAAATAGTAATTTACACCATCCAAATGCAAGTAGATAGCAGATTAAACCAAATGATATATCTGGTTAAATTCTGTAATGGTGCCAGTCCCTAAACTATATTCGTGCGAAACAGAGCTAGTTAATATCCAAGTATTCAATGCAATAGCATTCGAAGACTTAAGCTGCCGAAACCAATCTCAGAAATTCAACATAGCAAGATCATTAAAAGTTCAATAGGAAGCTCAGACCAAGCAAGCAACAAACCAATTTCAACAAAAGTAATTTACGGCAATGTCGCAATTGCTCGATTCAGCGGGGGATTGGGAGCGTTGACGGTCGGGTCGGAAAATTTGGAGGAAGCAGAAGAAGATAATCAACTTTTTAAAATTGTTCATACATGAAAAAGATGTTCTAATTTCGCTTAATTTTAATTTTTTAAATTAAAATATAGAAGTTGCAGACTTACGGTTGAAAGATTGTAGTATTTAAGTTCACGAGAAATCTTCCGGCGAAAAAGTCAAAAAAGGAAACACTTGAGATCAAATTGGATCTGGCTCAGGCCCACGACGTCACCGCCACGGTATGCCTTATGGTCATGGGAATATCAGAGCAGGACTGTTTACGGGACGGGATGAGACCAGAACCAGCTCGTCTTGGTCCTGTCTCGATGAATAGTAAAGGAATAAGGAATTTGTCCCGTGTCTCGTTCCATCCCGGTCTATTTTTTTTTATTTTAAAAAAATGTTTTGAGTCTTGTAAGGGAGATTTTAAACTCTGTGAGCCTTCTAATGGGTTTAAAAACACTGTAGGCCTTCTGGGAGATTTACTTTTTATATATCAAGTATTAACTAGGAGATATTACTATTTTATTTGTTTTTAACATTTAATAATTAAATAAATATGATACAAAATATAAAAAAAAACCTACCGGGACAGGACGTTCCCATCTCATGTCTCGTCCTGTTCTGATTCCCTTGTTTGTTTTGTCCCGAAAATTTTCGGGAGGCCAACTTTGAACGGCTTTAATTGGGGGTGGAAAAGAACTCTGAATATTTAATTTATATGTAAATTAGGCCCGCGCGAGGTCGGATCGCTTTGGGATTGGATGGTGATAGCGTGTGACGCCTAACTGTAAAGGCCCCAGTTCGATCCACCCGTTTGGTACGATGGAATCAAATAAATATGAGGTATTTGAAAATGCCTCTCTTTTATCATGCGCTGCGTCCCATCGCTTTGAGGGTGTCTTGGAAAGCACTCGGAAAAAATATCAAGTTATGATAAAACTTTTTTTTATATATTTAACTTGTATATCATAAAATTATTTCTAAAAATCTAATTTAAACGCCACATAAATTTAGTTTCGTATGGAAAAGTGAAGATTGCTTGTCATTACTAAATGTATTAAAAGTAGAAAGAAATTTAATTTTCTTTTATCATATTGTTCACAAAAATTTTTTTTCGGCTCGGCCATTTTGACTCATTTCCCTGGATTTACAAACATAGCCAAGTAAGGGTGTATTTGAATTAGTAGTAGTAAAATTGACTTTTATTTCAACTGACTTTTACAAACTTAAGTTAAGATAAAAGTAAGTTAGTGTAATATGATTTATGTCAGTATTGACATTTATAAATAAATTAGTTGAAAAGTTAAAACTTGTTTAGATGAGTAATCTAAATGTAAGTTTAGATGTGATATGATAGAAAAGGGCATGAATTTTTATTAAATAATACATATTATATATTATATGTACAAAGGTGATAATTATTAGATAACTATTAAAACTAAAATTATAAAAATAAAATTAGTTGTTATTGGGAAAAATTTGAAAATACGTTTTATCAAGTTAAATATATTTAATGGATAAACACAAATATTAAAAAGCATTTTAGTTAATTAAATATGTTTAAAGGGAAAAATCAATAACATCAAAATATCCGTAAAAATATAGTGAAGCAAGAAAACACTGAATATGTTCATTTTTCCAAAACATGCGTGGCTGCCAAGATAGCAGAGATTGTTGTCAGGGAAGGATTTCGTCGCCATAGCTGGATAGGAATTTGATGGTGGATCTTAGAGAGCATGCGGCAACTGCTACCGGGGGCAATTTGGGTTGACATATGAGAGAGACGGGTCCAAGTTTCAGATAGAGAGGCAATGAGAAAGAAGATTTTTGAGATGGCTTGCTCTGCTAGACAGATAAGGGGAAAGAGGCGATCTGAATGGGTGGAGAGAATACAAGGAGATGACGGAGCAAAAGTGAGAGAATAAAAAGAGCGAAGGGGTAAATTAGGGTTGGTGAAAATCTCAGAAGAGCATTAACGGTAGAATGACTTCATCCAGCACCCACCGCTGTATTTCCTGGCTTCCACAATATCGTGCTTTTCTCCCATAAGTCAGATAAAAAAAGCTGATTCAAACAAGCATTTATCTTCAAACACACTATCAACTCATGTTTAGCACGTTCCAGTGCACGTTCGGATCTTCGATCGGAGATCCAAACACATCCTAATTTGCTCGGGTGATTTGCCTTCTAAGGGGAACAAGAAACTGAAATTCAAAGAAATATGCTTTGCTTATAAAATCGAAAATATCATTTGTTATAAAATATCCTCAGGAGAAGCAGTGAGGGCTGGGTCTAATCTCAAAGACTAGTCCTCACAACGTGATAAATTAAAGTTTGAATTTATGTTGAGAAAAGTATTCAAATTTAGTGTCCGATAATGTGTCGCACAGATGCTCACAGGGTGACCACAGTGGTGGCATCCGACATGGTTGTTTAGTGGCGGTTAGTTGTGGAACCACCCAATCAGGATAGTGACCACGTCACCCAACATGGTTTATTTTATTTTAAATATAGAGTAGAGTTAATACAAACTTTGATCCTTTAAATTTATCTTAATTTTGGTTTTGATCCCTCAAATTTCAAACCATAAGTTTTAGTCCCTTAAATTTTTATTCATTTAAAATATTAGTCCCTGTAATCCAATAAAAATTTGAACCATTTTGCCCATTGAGGGACCAAAATCTATAGTTTAAAACTTGAGGGACTAAAATTAAAATGAGGACAAACTTGAGGGATCAAAGATTATATTAACCCTATTGAGTATAAATACTTTCATTAAAATATTTTATAATATGAAGAAAATATAAGATGAGAACTATCTATAATTATATAAAATTTTAAAAAATTTAAAGAACATTCAAATTTAAATCATATATTTAGTATATTGGTGTCATACATATAAAATATAAAACAAAAGTTTAGATTCCTAATTGAAAGACCATCAAAGAAAACAGCTATACTACACACCTCAAAGCATTTACCTATTAATCTATTATGTTGTTTATATTATATTTAAAACACTTAAAATGTGGAAAAAAAATAATATTTCCTCTTATCCACCCGCAATTAATAGGGATGGGGGAATAATTAAATGGGGAGAGTCGAGGGGTGGGTAAAGGGTCGAATGGCAAGATACTTTTCTTCAAAATATATATTTCCTACAATAAAATATTAAGTGAAATTAAAAATAAATAATAGTTAGGATTGATTTTGATTCTAAATATAAAATTGCAATCTACTTTATCTAACATGCAACAAAAAAAATCCACTTTGCCTACCAAAATCATAAATTTTTACTCAAAATATTTAATATTGATTGTAGGTATTAAAGAGACTCCAAATTAAAGAGTTGATAGTAATTTCAATTTACGTGATTAAATGAATAGTTTAGAAAAATTAAAATATGTTTGTTATAAATAATTAGCTTAGTTAATTTTTAAAATATTTATAAAGTAATTATGTAATTGTTATGTTAAGAATTAGAAGTAATATAAAGTACATGAAATTACTCTCTTTTAAATAGGCATAGAAGAAGAAGTACTCAATACTCTATCGAGTGACCTTGGACGTATTCATAATATACTGTTATTTGTTTAAAGTATTAATTTTTTTATTTAATATGCCTAATTAATTATAAAATATCCTAATGACTAATTAGCTAAACTTCTCTAACCACCAATTTTGATATATACTCCTTTGATCCTATTTATAAGTCATTTTTAACATGTTTTACACAAACCAAGAAAAATCCTAAAATTCAACAACTTTTCAATTTTATCCCTATTTAATATATACCATATCTCATGTAAGCAAAATCAACACAATAATAAATGAAGGGTAAAATTATATATCCATACAAAAATTTCTCTCAGTGCCTTATAAATAAGACCAAAAAATATCTTCTCTTTCTGTTTTATAAATATGACCATAGGAGTATATATTAAGAAAATAACAAATTTAAATTAAGTCGATGAATTTGTGTAAAATTTTTATCATATTAATTGTAATTAGAACCAGTTTGTCTTGGGATTTGATCCACGGAGAAAAATAAATGACAACTCAACCATCTCATCATTTTGAACTGGAGATATGTTTCCCAAGGTACGTAGACCCATTCCGGGTCTATAAATAAGTGTCATCAACATGACATCATTTTTGGCTGATACAATAATACCTCTATAAAATCCTCAAGGCCCCTCCACAAGGATCTATGTAAGGCTGATATTGGAAAAATGGAACATTTGGAAGAGATCAGAGAGGCTCAGAGAGGCCGTGGCACAGCCACCATCCTGGCCATTGGCACAGCCAATCCCTCCACCTGCATCCATCAAGACGATCCTGATTACTACTTCAGACTCACCAACACTCAACACTTGACTCACCTCAAGCCCAAGTTTCAACGCATTTGTAAGTGTGTCTATTTAGTTTTTTTCCCCCCTAATCATAAGTGTCATCTTATAGAAACAATCTTATTCGAGATATTATTATACTGGCACTAAATATAGATATCTCTTCAATAGAGATTTAAATCTCGGTTTGTCATGTTGTGAAAGACTAACTTTTTTTGTTATATCCAATCCCTATTTGTATCTATTTAATTTATTTATTTGCAATACTCACATGATACATTAAATTATTTGAACAATATTATCAAGACCTTTTTTTCTAACATAACTAAACTTAGCGTGTAACCTTATGTTTAAGGGAGATGTTTGATATCATTCCGGCTACATCGCCCCGGCATTAAATTAATTAGTTCATTTTCATTAAGAAAACTAAGTTAATAAGTTATCAGTAAAAAATATGTTTGTCTTTCCAAAATATTCATTTTAATTATTTAATTAATTTTGAAAATTATTCCTTATATACATAATATTGGTAATTAATAGGACTAACGTAGAAAATTTATCTCTAAGACTAGGCTGATCAGGATCAAAACAAATCCCTCAAGTATTTCATACATTTAGAAGCAAATGACGTGTGTGTATTAAAATTTTATAACCTGTCATAGGTGAGAAGTCCATGATAAAGAAGCGTTATGCATACCTGACAGAAGAGATGCTGAAACAAAACCCTAATCTACGCTCTGCAAATGAACCTTCACTTGATACACGCCAAGACATGGTGATTATGGAGATTCCGAAGCTCGGTGAAAAGGCAGCTTCAAACGCCATCAAAGAATGGGGAAGACCGAAATCGGAGATCACCCATCTCATCTTCTGCTCCACTTCCGGCGTCGACATGCCCAGCGCCGACTACCACCTTGTCAACCTTTTAGGTCTCAACCCATCCACCAAACGCTTCATGCTCTACTTCCAAGGCTGCTTCGCCGGCGCAACCGTGCTCCGCCTAGCCAAAGATCTCGCCGAGAATAACGCCGGCGCTCGGGTTCTTGCAGTATGCTCCGAGATATCCTCCGTCAACATCCATCCACCATCTGAAACACACCTAGACTCATTGGTTAGCCATGCTATCTTCGGGGACGGAGCTTCTGCTGTGATCGTTGGATCAAACCCAGAAATTTCCATTGAAAGACCATTGTTCTATCTTGTTTCAGCATCAGAAACGATTCTGCCAAACTCTGAAGGCGCCATTGAAGGACACTTACGTGAAGTGGGATTCACACTACATCTTAAGAAGAACCTGTCTCGCTTGATCGGAGAAAATATAGAGAAAATCCTTGAAGAAGCAATGAGTTTGATTGGAATCAAAGATTGGAACTCGCTGTTTTGGATAGTGCATCCTGGCGGGGCATCGATACTGAGAGAGATAGAAGAAAGGGTTGGGTTGGAGGAAGATAAATTGAGAGCGACGAAACACGTACTGACAGAATATGGGAACATGTCAAGTGCTTGTGTGTTGTTTATATTAGATGAAATGAGAAGGAAATCCATGGAGGAAGGAAGAGCCACTACTGGAGAAGGACGTCAATGGGGTGTTCTCTTTGGATTTGGTCCAGGCTTGACCATAGAGACTCTGGTCTTGCACAGTGTTACAATTCCTAGAGATTAGAACAATTCGAAATTGGGGTTCTTGTTCAATACTTATCTCAATAATGGGTATGGTGTGCTCTTCATTTTAATGAAATATGAATTATCTAAAATTTAATTTATATGGCCCGTATGTAAAATTTTTAATATACAGATTTTAATAATAAATTTATTTTTTTAAGTCTCAGTTATAAAATTATTTTTATTTAATTTTGTATTTTTTAAATAAAAATTAAATTTATAATTTGGATTGGACCATTCAAAGATTTTGTTAAATAATCACAACAACAAAATTGGATTAATGAAAGAAGAAAATAAACAAATAAATATTTATAACTGGGCAAGCTTCAGCCATTTCAGCTCTTGGCTTGGTGGTGGGGGCTTTTAGAATTCCCCCCTCGGGTCACGGGTTCGACTTGGCAGCGAGGATATCGTACAAAGGACCTTTCCATTAATGAGGTATTGCCAAATACCTCTCTTTTTAATTAAAACACTAAAAAAAAATAACAACGTTAACAATTGATTTTTACATCAATCTAAAAAATAATTAATAGCAGTTTTATATAAATTAATTAAAATGATTTATTTAATAAAATTTTTAAGTTATTTTCAGTAGGCAGTTATAGAATTGAAATATCTCGTATACTCCATTAAATTAATATCTGAACAACAATTATCTAAAAAATTTAAATTTAAATAATCAGTTGAAAGATGAAACCAGATTTAAAATATAAGATATCTGAATTCCTTTACCTTTTATACACACACATATATTAAAATAATATAAATTACTATATATATAAACAATTCAATGTTAAAATAAAAAATTCAATTTATAATTTGGATTTGGTCCAGGCTTGACCATAGAGACTCTGGTGTTGCGGTGTTACCATATAGACAATTCTAGAGATTAGAACTAATAGGGGTTGGGTCTAACAGAAGGGCTAGTCTCTCACAACGTAGTGAATCAATATTCGAATTCACATTGAAAGAGGTGTTCACATTTAATACCGGATAATGCCTCCAATAGAAGAACATCTATGTTTTAGCAAAAAAAAAAAAACAAGAAGAACAATTTAAAATTGGGGTTCTTATTCAATACTTATTCCAGCAATCGGTATGGTGTGCTCGTCATTTTGATAAAATATGAATTATCTGAAATTTAAATAGTCCATATTTAAAATATTTAATATACAATTCTTATTAATAAATTTATTATTTTAAGAAGTCTCAATTATAAATTTATTTTTATTTTTATTTTTTTATTTGTTAAAATTAAAAATTCAATTTACAATAATAACAATAAAAAATTGTTTTAATGGAAAACAGAAATAAATAATTTTTGCCTTTGCCTGTCAGGTCATGAGTTCGACTTGGCAGCCAGAATATCGTGCCAGGGACCTGCTCATTAATGAGGTATTGCCAAATACCTCTCTTTATAATTAAAACACTAAAAAAAATAGCAACGTTAATAATTGATTTTACATCGATCTAAAAATATTATAACAGTTTTATATAAATTAATAAAATAAAATAAATCAAAATGAGTTATCTTTAGAAAAAAAATTAAGTTATTTTCAATAGGCATACGACTAATTAGTTATAAAATTAAAATATCTCGTATACTCCATCAAATTAATATCTGAAACAATTATCTAAAAAATTTAAATTCATATCATCAGTTAAAAGATGAAACCAGATTTAAAATATAAGATATCTGAATCTTTTTACCTTATATATACATTTTTTAAAATAATATAAATTAAAATAATATGAGATGATAATGAAATGGATAATGTTAATTTAGATAAATCTTCATTAAAAAGTCGCAAAAGGATTGATTTCATCCCTTTAACGGAAGATTCAAATCAATTTAAATCTAACTTATTTCATCCTATAACATGAGATGATAATAACATGGATAATATTAAGGTAAATTATCATTAAAAGATTTCAAAAGGATGTTGATTGCATCCCTTAAACCGAAGATTCAAATCAATTTAAATCTAACCCAATTTATCCTCTAACCCACGCCTATAACGCCTATAACGTCTATATATTTGTCTCATTTCAGCTCTTGGATGCACATGAACTTGATCACTGGTCTCTCTAGTCTCTAATTATTTTGCTGTGTAATATTAATATTAATTGATTGATCGATCATGGAGGGAGGAATACCACAAGCTGATGCGTCTGCTTTCAGAGCATTATTGTCTCTTTCAAGCAAAAATCCTTATGTTCTCAGACTTGCTTTTTCTGCTGGACTTGGTGGATTCCTCTTTGGCTATGACACTGGTATGTCTCCATCTTTATTTATTCTTATTTCCATCAAATTTACCATAGTCTTTAGTTGCGTTTTCACAAGTTATATAACTTGTTAAATTCTTTCTTAAGGAACACATGCCATAGTCTTTTACAAGGCAATGTACTTTAATAATTCCAATGTTAAAAACTCCTCGAATTTTTACTACAGGGAAGCATATATCTGGGGCTTTTTATGACTAAATTATGTTTTTATTGATTGAGTTTATGCTTCTTTATGTTTTCATGAGTGAGAAAATATTTATTTTTAATTATCTTGTGGCGCAGGAGTAATATCTGGGGCTCTGTTATACATCAGGGATAGTTTTCCATCAGTGGCAAGTTCTGCGTGGTTGCAGGTATTCGATTGTCATTCTTTAAAAGAATAGCATCATCATCAATTCAATTGAGAAAGGAGACAACTTATTTTTTAATTCAAGTGATTTGTTCACTGCATAAATAACAGATATCGTTTCATGTTTTTTAAACACTACTTTATATATTTGGTTTTAATAATTTGTTTATAGTTTCAATGTTATATTCAACTATATAGCGAGCAGGAAAAACTAATCTCTTTTTTAACTGAAAATAGGGAGCAGTGGTAAGTTTTGCTCTGATTGGTGCGGTTATTGGATCATTGGTGGGAGGATGGTTTAATGATCGTTATGGAAGGAAAAAAGCCACAAAAATTGGAGCTTTTCTATTCTTTGCTGGCTCAGTAATTATGGGTGCTGCCCCTAACCCAGCAGCCCTCTTAGCTGGTAGATTGGTGGTTGGTCTTGGGGTTGGAACTGCTTCCATGACTGCACCACTTTATATCTCTGAAGCTTCTCCTACTAAAGTTAGAGGAGCCCTTGTTAGTCTTAACAGTTTTCTTATCACTGGCGCACAATTCCTCTCTTATGTAATCAATTTAGGCTTCGCTAATGTAAGATCTTTCACTTCATACTATTTTTATTATTATTTTATAGTTATGAAATTTGTATATAAACTGCTTTTTTTATTTTTATATTTTGGTATTTCAGGCACCTGGAACATGGAGGTGGATGCTAGGAGTGGCAGCAGTTCCTGGTTTGATTCAGTTTGTTATAATGTTTTGGCTTCCTGAATCACCTCGTTGGCTTTACAGAAAGGTGCCTTCATTATCAATTTTATGCGTTTTTGTATCTATCGTTAGTTCATGCCATAACCTACAAAACAAACCTTGTCTTTATTTTGAATAGGGGAGGGATGAAGAAGCAAAAGAGATTCTGAGGAAAATTTATGATGAGAATGAAGTTGAAGCTGAGATTCAAGCTTTAGAGGAGTCAGTTAAGAAAGAAATAAAGGAATCGGAATCTTCAAGTAAGGTTGGCATATGGAAAATGCTTAAAAACACAGCAGTGAGAAGAGCTCTATATGCTGGAATGGGACTTCAAATATTCCAACAATTTGTAGGCATTAACACAGTAATGTACTACAGCCCCACCATAATTCAACTAGCGGGGATTACATCAAATCAAACTGCACTCCTTCTATCGCTGATTACATCCGGGCTCAATGCTTTTGGTTCCATTATCAGCATCTATTTTATTGAGAAAATTGGGAGAAAAAAGCTTGCATTAATCAGTTTAGTTGGTTGTGCACTCTCTCTCTGTATCATTTTTGCCCCGTTCTATGTTACAGAAACTCATTCCCCTGAGATTAGTCCAATTGCAACCTCCCACTTCAATGGAACATGTCCCAGTTATGACATTGCAATGAAAACTAGTACTCGATTTGGTTGTAACAAGTGTCTCAAATCTTCTCCGGCTTGTGGATTTTGTGCTGACCCATCTAATAAGGTATACTATTGTCACTCTCTTATCTCATTATAATAACTCTTTAAACTCTCTAACGGTGGATTGTTGTTGTGCAGCTCGCACCTGGGGTGTGTTTGGTCTTAAATGACAACTCAAAAATGCAATGCCAAACAGAGAAAAGTTCTTGGTATACCGAAGGATGTCCTTCCAATTTTGGTTGGCTTGCCATCTTAGGACTTTCGTTGTATATCATCTCGTTTTCACCTGGAATGGGTACTGTTCCTTGGGTTGTGAACTCTGAGATATATCCGCTCAGATATAGAGGAGTTTGTGGAGGTATGGGGGCCACCTCAGTTTGGGTTTCCAATCTGATAGTGTCACAAACTTTCTTAGTCATGACAAAGAGTATCGGAACTGCGTGGACTTTTATGATCTTTGGTTTTGTTTCTTTTATTGGAATTTTCTTCGTACTCATCTTCGTACCAGAAACTAAAGGGCTTCCGATAGAAGAGGTCGAGACAATGCTAGAACAAAGGCCTGTGCAGTTCAGATTTTGGAAGAAGAATCCCTTGCCTTTGCCTCTTTAACAAATTCTTCAGGGACAACAACCAGCCATTAAGATCTTTAATGGAGGATAGCTCGTTTCGTGGACACTTGTTTTCTCTGTTTTTCTTTCTTCTAATGTTTAGGAGTTTTTTCAATTGTCTCTTGACAAAGATGTTATAGATATATTGATGAAAAGTATTTTTAGGTGTTTTATTTCTTGACATTTTATGCGTTTAGTTTCTTTCTTTTCGTTTCTCATACATATATTCATCGTTTTGGGTTACTTTATAGGGTTTCTTTCATCTAGTTCAACTATGAATTTAAATGATATTTAATTGTTTATGGTTTCCCAGTTCTTCATCATTATTTTTAATCTCAAATTAGGACCTGTTTC